AATAATCACACGAAGGTTGGTAACGAACGATAATACTTAGAACAAGCGTAGAAGTAGTCAACTGCTAGAAGTGAGTCAAGTGAATTCCACAATGAATCTAACTGCAGACCAACATACAGTATTTACTACTGTATTTATGTGAATGGGAACAGACCTATTATCCTCCGTACGTATGCTATGTCAGAAGACAGAATGCAAAAGCAATGGTAAAAGGTCTCAAATATCAACAAAAAAGAAATTAGTGTAAAAAGCAACAATGATGTCTGAGTGGTAAAAAGCCTCAATATATTTTCTGTCTTGACTGAATTGAAACAGTGGCCAGATGAATTAGACATTTTGCGTTTACCAACATGAACCAAATCAAATCAATGGCTGAAGGCTTTTAACGTTTTGTAGATATACGTAAATGCTTACAATCAAAAAGTGACAGTTGAAATTCCTGGTACGCACAATGAAGAAGGATGTTTTGGAAATTTTGATACTCCCAAGGTTTATCGATAAATATGTGAAGAATTTAACAGTCCCAAATAAAGAATTTAACACTGACGAGACATATTGTCTAATAAAGAATTTCTGAACTACAAGGCATATAGAAGGAACGAGATGTAAAGGAAACAGCAAATAACGATTGCGGGCAGGAAGGCCGATTTGCAGAAACAGTCTCCCAAGTCTCAGGGTCGATGTTGCCTGTGTCAGAGATGTTTTCAACTGATACTTGAACCGTCTACTACGTGGTCGATACGAAGGAAATTCTTAGGTTCTAACTCTTTGGACACAGAATGTGATATATTCTGTGTAAGGTTTCTTATTTTTTTTTTATATCTAGGACATCTTTTAACAAACTGGTAGCTATTTTAGCGTTGCATCTCAGATCTGACACCAAGTTCATGTGCATGGTGTAGTTTCTTCCAGTCAAACGCTGCTCGTTTAAACACCATCCGTGGGCCTCGTCGTCATCCACGAATTAAAACCACTTGTTTTTCTCTGGCTGTAACCTACTGCTATTTCTCTCTGACTGAATCGAAAGAGTGGTTAGGTGAATTTGGCATTTTGCATCTACCAACATGGGCGAAATTAAATCAATAGCTGAAGGCTTTTAAAATTTTGTAGATATAACTAAATGCTTACAATCAGAAAGTGACAGTTGAAATACCTGGTACGAATAACAAGGAAAGAGGTTTGGAAAATTTGACACCCACAAGATTTATTGTGGCGTAAAAATAACCTTTCGGACAGATCTTCATCCACGAATTAAACCCTTTAGAATTTGTAGCATTAATTAGATTTTATTCTCGGGTTGTAACCTGCTGATAAAACTAGCGAAGCCGAGATGAAGAGTCTGTTAGTAGGGCAGTGAACAGTCTAACGAGGGTCTTCCCTTTCACGTCGCTTATGAGGTGATCACGTCACTCTATGTCACTTAAAATAGTGAAATAATTGAAACATATAATAGTGGCTGGCCAGAAGAGAAACCTACTTCTATAAGGAGTAATCGCTCGGCTCCATCATTAGATGCTGAGCACAATATTCTCTTCTATGTCTGTTGTAGCGTTGCAGGTTAGACCATACACCATGGAGCAGCTTCGTCCAGTCGAAAGTTTGTGGTTTGATACAAGAATATAATTCTATGGTCGGATCGTTGCCCAAAGAAAAAGAACCATGAGACAAAAGAGTAGCAATCGGCAAATTTTATTACGTTGCAATCTTCTAGTAAATGCCGGCTGTGGGCGAGCGAAGAAAACGAGGTAGTGTTGAGCGGGCGAACGATCTAACCGGTATGTACCTTCCTATGCTGTGGCGGGCGAGCGGCTCGCTCTCTTTTAAACTGCTTGGGGCCACTGTCTTATAGAGTACAATCATTCTTTGTCCTGTCAGATTTCGTCTAGAAATGTAATTCATCAAGCACCCAGGATTTTTTGTGATCTGCTCACACCATACACCATGGAAGAGCTTCGTCCAGTCGAAAGTTTGTGGTTTGATACAAGAATATAATTCTATGGTCGGATCGTTGCCTAAAGAAAAAGAACCATGAGACAAAAGAGTAGCAATCGGCAAATTTTATTACGTTGCAATCTTCTAGTAAATGTAATTTTTGTCAAGAAGATAGTTGTCAAAACGATTTCGGTAACATCCTGCAGATGTCTCCGTGACAACAAATCAGCTGAAAACTGATTTCGCTGCACAAGATGGTGTGAGTTGGTAGACGAGGCGGCTAATAGGAAGCAATGGTAAAATTTCAAAAACGGTTAAAGCAACACAAGACATGGAGATGTGGAGAATAAAAACCGAAGGTATGAGAATAGAGATAAAGTGTTCCATATTCATGGACAAAATTTTTCATCGACATGGGCGTCGTTTTTCACTTGACAGCGGGGGTTTCAGAAGTGTTGTCAATATCACTGAAAGCCTCGCTCGACTTTCAATGCAGAAATTCTATTTGAGAGGCTGGACTGTCTGCGTTATGGGAATGTCCTCACTCCGCTTTAGATAACCGCATATGAGAAATAATGCGAACTGTCAAATCACGTGAGCCTAATGACACTTGTTCAACGGGCGTCACGTCAATTAATGTATGGGTGTCCGTGTAAGGGCGCGCGTACGGAGTTTACGAAACTTGTCAATAAATGGTAATGAGACAATGTATTAAAACTGGGGTGCGTATGTATGTGAATGCGCTTGTGTTGTATGTGTGTATTTATGAGCGAACCATGCTGAATCTAATTATGAAATTATTATGAGTATATTATATAAATACTCATGCTCATATATATATATATATATATATATATATATATATATATATATATATATATATATGTGCTTATATATATATGCTTATATATATACATACATATATATGTGTGTGTGTATGGTGAGAGATGGAGGCATGGTGGCGTAAGTCTTTAAATAAACTGTCTTCTTGAAATCTATGTATGATATTTTTCATATCACGATTCTTAAAATAATTCCCAATAATTTCACTTCTTATATAGGCGGGATCGTGTTACCACAATTACAGCACCAATTATAATAACTGTTACAAGAACAACAACAACAACAATAATAATAATAATAATAATAATAATAAGGAACTAGCAAAAAATGAAAAAAAAAATGAATCTATCCACAACCATAACAACATATGTGCACTCGAAGATATGTAAGAAGCACAAAATTAAAAAAAAACACTGAGAGATGGTATGACCACCAACCGGACACAGTTACACAAGTTAGTGTTCGAGTTCCACATGCCATGTTTAAAGGATGTCAGTTATCAGTTATCTCCGGTTAATTCCCCTCTCCAAGTTCTTCACTGCCTTAACCAGGAATTGAACTCACACTCTC